ACAAAATGATGAAGATACAGATTTATCTATCAAAGTATCTGAAAAAAGTGACATATCATTAGAACGATCTCCGTTAAAAACGTCGTTAAATGCAAATAATAAGCAAATATGGTGTAAAGATTGTGAGATTTCGGTAGACGCAAAGTTATTTCAAAGTCATATTCACGGAATCACTCATCTAGCATTTTCGAAAAATATAAATGAAGAACCTTTACCCGATCCTTTGACACTTAATGAGGTATTTAATATCTTCTCTTTGAATAAGAATTTAATATATTATTGTTAATTATATGAATTTATTTTAGACTAATATAGGTTTTAGAATGTTGCGTAATCAAGGTTGGAGTTATAAAAAAGGTCTTGGAGCTCAAGAACAAGGAAGACGACACCCAATACCTACAAAAATTAAAAATGATAAATTGGGTATTGGAGTTAAACACTTAAAATTAGGTTTACCATCATCAAAGGTATTAAATCATATTCCTTAATCTTAAAAAATTTTTATAAGTCTACTAAAATAAAAAACTTATTTAAATAGTTAAAAAGGTTAAATTCGAAACAATCGGCAGCTCAATATGAAAAAGATCGCAGGGATAGAATTAGATTACTTGCTTATATGAATAGATGATCTATTTCTTAAGCTAGATGCAGAATAATTGTGAATGCAACATTTATTTTGATTCATATTTGACATTTGATTAATTATTTTAAATAAGTAAAAAATTAAATTTAAAAAGAATTAAAAGAAATATATATTTAGAGATTAAAACTTCTTTGTCTACTTTTAAATTGCTAATAGTCTAATAGTTCCAATAGTTCTTTTCGTTTATTAAAGGGCAAGTTTTAAATTAAAACCTATTATCATTAAATCATCGTCACCTCAATTTTCTTTATACTGATTATAACCTAGTAAAATAAAGTATATCCGCTTTAAATATTTGTCTTGTCTAGATTAATTTATTGCTTTGGATATAGCAATTCTTTTCGTAAAAAACCAATATTTGGCTTATGAATGCAAAAATAAATTTTGTATTTTACAAAATCTATCATCTAATCTAATAAATACAGATTCAAAACTCAAATTCATCCCGAAATTGATCTACGTTTATGCTGGCAGTTAATTTCTTGCATAGATCGTCCCGATCCTTGAATTTCAAAAAAATTTTATATAGCAGAAATAATAAAATTTTATAAGAAACAAATGGAATTAATCTTAATACAAACCATCATATTAAATGTCTTAAATAAAGTTTCTCGAAGACTATCACTAGCATTTTTAATATTCTCATTATCTAATCCAGTTTGGTGCATACTTAAAGCGCCAAGTAGATGCTCAGCCGCTTCACGATAACATCCAATATTAAGACAACTAACACCTAAATTATAACGTGCACGAACGAAATTTGGCTTGAGATCCAATGCTTTACGGTAAGCTTCAATTGCATCCTCTGACTGGCCAGAATTTGCTAGAGTAGCCCCTAATCTGTTCCATAAAAGATAATCCTGTTGTAAAAAAAAAAAAAAAAAAAAAAAAAAAGTTAAATTAATAATTAAATTAAGTTAAATTAATAATTACTTATTATTTATCAATAATTAAACATTAAAAAGTTAAAACTTACATTTTTTCGAGTATTCAATGCTGACATAAAGCAATCAACGGCCTTGTCAAACTTTCCACTACCATAAAATAGTACACCTAATCCAACTTGAACATCTGGATCCATACCTTCACCTTCTGGTGCTTCGCGTGCTGCTTGTATAAAAAGTTCAGTGACGCGAGAATGTATACTTATGACATTATGCATAGGTGCTGCTCTTGTTACTACATTTGGATATTTCGCAGTAATCCACCTTTCAAGCGTAAGATATGCCTGTTCATCGTAGCCTTCATTAGTATAACTGACGGCAAGGCTCTAGAATTTAACGATATTCATTAAACTTTAAATAACTTCTTACACTTGATGGATATTGAGTATACTAAATTAATTACATACCATTAAAGCTGGTAGATTACCACCATCCACCTCAACAGCTTTCTGTAATGCCCTGATAGCCGCCAACTCTTTTTCATTTTGTGCTTGAGTATTGCCTAACCACATCCATGCTTCCGAATTATTATTATCCTTACGAACAGCGGCTTCAAAAGCTAAGGCAATTTGTGATAATGTTCCACCCATTTCTGCTAATCTTAAACCTTCTTGGAAAGGATCTTCATGATGTAAATAAGGACTATCCTCTTCAAATACATAATCACCTAAATCAACAACACGATTATTAAAGAAATTATCCCATTCATCGGAATTGTCTTGAACTTGTGACCAAATATTCTCAAATTCGTTGAATAACGCCCTATCATCTGCAGATTTTTGTTTATGTTCTGCATCCCGTTGTGCGGCTTCAAATTGTTCTTCCCAAGTGGAAGAATCAAGTTCAACAATTTTTTCTTTTCCTTTTCCTTTATCTTGGTTTAACACATATTCACTTGCCCAATCGAAATTTTTTTGAAATGCTGCTTCAAATTCAGGTGGAATTTCCCGTAAATGTGTCGTATTTGACTCGGAATTTTGTATAAATTCTGCATTCCAGTTGTCTATAAAAAGGTCAAATGATATTTAATATGCCACGTATATATAATAATAGAAGTATTTGAAGCGTTAATATACCGTTGAAATTCATTCTTTTAAAAGCATACTCCATTTCTGCCTCTTCCAACGGTCCAAATTTCCATGTCTGTGGAACATCGCGAACGTTTTGAAATTCTGATGTCCAGTCTGTTTGTTTAAATAGTTTCAGCAAAATTAGATCAAATCATATCTATCTATTCAAATTATTTGATGAAATTAAATACCTTGTGCTCTGTGATCTACGAACTCTGGTACGTGATATGTTATTGAATGGTCTTGTTGATCAAAAAACTCCCCAATAAGCTACTTCAACATAATTTTTTTTAACATTAAATACTTAATAACTGTTAGTATTTGCTTCATTGAACACAAATTTGGTTACCTTTTGATCTTGAAGTTTTACGTTAGGCCCTAATGTGCGGAACTAAATGCAGAAAATTCAATAATTCACTGTTTGATACTAGACGAGCTTTTAAAAAGAATCAGCACCAACCGAACTACTTCCAGCTCTTTCTACACCTTGAAAAAAACCATCCTATTATTAATTTAATAAAAAGAAAAAACCAATTTAATTACTGAAAAATAATTTTTCATGATCGAAAACCTAAATATAATTACCTTTTGGATTGATTTATCATCCGTAAATTGTTTCAGAATTCCAGTCAAAGGGTTAGATCCGGAACATTCTGTTCCATTAATCATACTTTGAAAGGCCATTTCTAAAAAAAACAGCGATAGGTTGGAAGACCTTAACATCAATCCATTTTTAGCCTACATAAATAATTCTGCTAGATGTCGATCACATATTACGGTATATAATGATCTGCAAAAAGTATTTACCCTAAGTGATCTATATCAAAATTAACATCAATTTATCATTTTCCCCTTGATAAATAATGGTAGAAACAACATCATTTATTTTAGCAAAATATGGAGGCTTAAAAGAATTAGAAAAATTTTCTCGTGATTTACCGAAAATTGTATTTTATTTTATTTTTATTTTAAATTTGATGCAAATTTTAATTAATACAATTAACATCAAAATTGGCATAACTTTTGCCGATATAGGAATTACATGCACATATTAATGGCTCTATAAGTCCAGAAGCATTGCAATATCTTTTTAATCAGAAAAAGGAAAAGAAACCAAACTTGGCAGAATTTAAAATTCCAAATAAGTTAAATGATCTTTCTAAGTATGAACATACATTATATTGATAAATCTTTGTACCGCTTTTAAAATCAAAACTCTTAACCTTTATTTCGTTCAGTTTCTTTCCTCTTTTCAAATTTATTTATCAACTTACCGATGATGAATTATCTGTTAGCTATGTTACCGAATTTATAATTCATGATTTTGCTCGTGATGGAGTAAAATATCTAGAATTAAGATCTAACCCACGAAAGAATGATGAAAACGGTTCGATCTTAATTGTCAAATTTTTGGTCACGTTATTTATATGTCACCTTTATTCAATGTATTCCTTGCACTTCAAAAGGCATGACAAAGGATTCATATGTACGAACTGTTACATCAATTATCCAAAAGTTTCCACATTCTGAATGTGATATTATAGTTCGATTGATACTTAGCATTAATCGTCGTAGTACATTAGAAGAAGCAATGGAAATCCTGAATTTGGCTATAAAATATAAAGAATTTGGTGTGGTTGGAGTTGATCTTTGTGGTGATCCAAAAGTGAATGATTATTAGATCCCGTACTTTAACTGAATTCAAATATTATCATTATAATCTAACGCAATATCATCTTTGATTACAAGGTAGGACATATCGATAACATAAAATTAGTTTTTATAAAAGCAAAATCCTATGGATTAAAAGTAACATTACATTTGGGAGAGGTAAATAATTTGCTAAAGCTACCCGTTTTGAGACTTCTACAGTTTTCACACGTCTACATGTAATTTACAAACAAGGCTGAAGAAACTATACCAGAACATGCATCGATGTTATCCATTGCTCCAGACAGAATTGGACACGCGGCGCATCTTGATCCTGAATCTAAGCTCTGCATATTTTCTAATAATATTCCAATAGAGATGTGCATGACCTCAAATGTGGTTTGTAATATTGTAAAGAATTATAAAGAACATCATATAAAGGACTTTTTATATGATAATCATCCTTGTTGTCTTTCCGTAAGTTGATATTGAAAAATTATTAGTCATAAAGGCTTGTTGAATATTTCATTAATAATTTTTTAACTTTTATAAATTCAGACTGATGACAAAGGTATGTTAGCTATTATATAACATTGATATATTAAAAACTAATCCCTAGTTTTATTCATTAAAGGTGTCTTTTTTTCGAACCTTTCTACTGAATATTCGATTGCTGCTTCAACATTTTCACTTTCACCAAAACAATTATTTGATCTTTCATATCGATGTATTAATTATATTTTTGAGAGTGAAAATGTTAAAGAAAATTTGAGAAAAGTTTGGAATAATTGGTTTAACGCATATCATCTAAGTATTCTCGATGAAAATGGATCAAATGTTAAAAATCCTATATTGTGATTATATGTAATGAATTGGCATTATTGTACAAACCTATAGTACGAACTCGCTGTTTTTACTATATCTTGATAAGTTTTAAGCTAACTTTAATAAATTCATTACTGTTAGAATTATAAGAGTTTATTTTACAATTTTATTTAAAAGTTCAAAATAATTTAATTAATAAAAATAATTATAAATTTTTTTTTCTTAATTAATATATTTTTATTAATTATTATTATTATTATTTTTTTTTTTTTGGCGATCTTGCCTATTATTTTATTAAGAAAAAGCTTACATGTGCTACAATGTAAATTACTATCTAATATATAATAAAATACCTTTCTTCAACTATTTTAGACTCATCTAGTTACCTTAAAACACCCAGGTGTAATCTGCCACAGCAACAATTTCTCTTGCAAAGATTTTAATCTGCAGGTATAGACTCTAGGCCTTTGGTCTATAAAAGGCTGCTACTAGCCTATATCAAGATTGTTTATTTTATTTTTAGTTTTAGCTACTCTTTTTTTTTACCAGTTCACACCTATGTGTCAACTCTTTTTAATGTTTCTTTTTGTATTCTCTTATCTTTTTCACTAGTCCTTTCTTTTTTCACATCTTTAGGTTGGGTATTTTCTTTATTTTCATCTTTCTTTCTGCTTCGTTTTCTTTTTTTATTCTTAGTCATAATGTTATTTTTCTTTTTCTAATTAGTTATAACTTCATATCAAAACTTTTACAGATGTTTAAAGAAACATTCCCAGAAGTGTTTCACAAAGCTCACTAAGATTTTGCTTGTTTTTTTTTTTGACTATGTTACTTTGCTTAGGCTTATAAGCTACTTGATGCTTGTGAGTCCTCTCAGATGCATCTTCCTGTTTTGTATTTTTTTTATCAGATTCTGTATTGTAAATTGCTTCCTTTAGTAAATTTTCACTTATTATTATATCTAATTTTGTTAAGGCTTCTAAGCTAGTTAGTTATAAAACTTCTGTTTTAACTTTTTCTCAGATTCCTTAGTAGATTTAATATTCTGCCAAATAGTAGAAAGTTTTATTTTTCAGAAGCAGGCTATATATCTTCAGCTTTTGTAAAGTCTAGGGTTTCTTTGAAAGCAAATATCTTTTGTAAGTAGAATTTTGTTTATATATTTTATATAAAACATGAAAGCTTTGCTCTTTTTTAAACTAATACATTTTTTTACCTTGTATTTTTCTAAGCAAGTCCTATATGATCTTCTAGTTTAGCTCTGTATCAAAATTTGAGTTCTGGTTATAGAATACTACTTCTGCTGTCTTGCTTAGATTTGCTCACTTAGTTTCATATACTATTGCTATAATGATATTTATGAAGGATCTGAAAGGGCTTTTGATTGCTTAACTTTTCTATTTAGGTATAGCTGTTAGGTTACTAGGTGTTATCTCTGGTATATTGAAACTTGTATGTTTTTTCATTCTGTTCTTAACTAACTTATTTATCTGGTCATTCCATTTGTTTTTACTATGACCTTTAACCTTGTGTAGTATCAAACTTAAGTCTTTTGCTTTGCAATAGTTTTTGATTTGACTTATTATACTTCTGTTTTTTAGTTTAAACTAGTATTATGTTCTGCTGTTTGTATTATCTCTTTTCAGAGCTTCTATTGCAGCTTTACTGTCTGTGAAGATATATACTTCAGTTTTGTATAGTACTATAATAAGAGCTAACCAAACAGCTCCTAACTCAGCATATATTGAGGAGGACTAGTTCTCTAAACTACTATTAAAGCTAATATTCTCACCTACTATATCCTTCTCTTTAACTACTCATCTAATACCTATTCTACCTGCTTTCTACTCTTACTGTTACTTTCTAATACTCTATTTGTATAATACTCAATTACTTTCTTCTCTTTTAATATTTCATATGCTTCTAGTAAGTTTTCTCTTAGATACTCCTTCTTTATTGAATTTTAAATGATTGCAAATTTAAGACTATTCACCTTAATTTTTATACTCAGTTTTTGTCTAGAATTACTATCCTCAACTATTTTTTTAGCTACTATGAATACTGTCATAGGTACTTCTAGTATTAGGTTTTCCTTTTCTTTATTTAATACATCTACTATTTGTTGCTAATCCTTATAGCTGATATTTATCAAGCAGTTATAGTTATTAAAGCTTCCAAAGTTGTATCTATTACATTTAGAGAAAAAATAATGTCCTGTTACATCTTTATTTTCTCTCCAATAAGTTGCCACTATACTTTTTTTAGTTTTTTTTATAGTTTTATCTAAGTATAGCCTTCTTTCTTTCTTGAATAAGAACTATTTTTTCTTTCTTCTGTTTTCTGATATTTTCTTTAACTATATTTTAATTGTGCTTCTATTTGGTCTTTCAACCTTGTATAAATCTTGTACTTCTCTTGAGTCTTTACCTTTTAAGATTTTCCTTTCTAAATTTGTAAACTAGCTTGGTATATATCCTTTTCTTATATATTTTAGTTGCTACCAAGTTAATAGCAAAGCTTCTGAGTAGTCTATTAGCTGTTCAAGAATAAAAAGGTTTATTTTGTCTAAATTCATAAAGGTATATAAATCTTTAACACTTAGCAGATTTGTAATTTCAATTCTTTTTATATTGAGTAAGTTCGAATTCTCAGTTAACTCCTTTATCTTTATACCTAGCTTAGCTACTTCTTGGAATACTTTTAGTACTAGATTGTGCTTATATACTATTTTGTTTAGCTTGCAATTCTTACTAATCAGGCTACTTAAGTATTTACTTTGTAGCTACCTTTCCTTAATTCTTAATTTAGTAGTTTTTCTTAATGTTTCTTTTTGGTTTATATGTATTATTAGTTCAATAATATAGTATACAAGTTGAGTTTGTCAGATAGATCTAAGACCCATGAAGCCAATATAACTACAGATTAAGTTTGCTATAGATTTTGCTAACTCTAATTTGTTTTTAATTAAGATTCAAATAGGTCTTTGCAGATTGTTGTATATAAACTTGCTGAGAAAAATTATTTGCAGTCTATATTTGATACTTAGTAAAAGTATACTATTATTTAGATATATTAGCTGATTTGTAGATACTTTCTTCTATTTGATTGTTTTGTATATTTTGCTGACTTTATTTCTTATACTCAGACTAAGACCAGGTTTTCTTTTGCTTGCAATCCAAACTCCAAGATATCTTACTAGGTCTGTTTCTTTTTTTACATAAACCTTGTTTTAGTTTTTGTCTATGATGATAGCTAATTGGTCCTTGCTTTTATATCTTTTTTTGTTTATGTTTAATGCTATGAGCTCAAACTTTTTGCTGTTGATTTCAATATTATTAATCTTGTAAAACTCATTAGAGATGTTAATGATTTTTTGTAGCTCTTCTTTAGACTTAGCAATCTATGTGATATCATCTGCATAAGCCAGAACTACGTACTGATGAGAAATTTCTCTAGTTAAATTATATATAATGTCTATTTTTTTTTTTTTTCCTTTGACAGTCTCGTTATAAAACTTTATTAAGTTGTTAATATGTAGTTATCCTACTCATTACATATTGAACTTTAAAGAAAAAATTCTACCTAATTTCTAAGCTTGACATTACTTGGCTGCTTCTAAGAGTGCCTAAATATAACCTGTTACACTAGTCATTAGGACTAGAACTATAATATCAAACTGCCAAAACCAGGTTCCTTCTAATCTAACTAAAGCTAAATTAAAAAATATTAATACCTAGTAGCAGGAAAAATAAAAATTGTTACTAATCTAAAAGCGCTAAGCTTACTAACAAAGAAAAACTTGTCCCAAATCATAAAAACTTTGTTAGGCAGTAATATAATAGAAGGGATAGAAAATAAAAAAGTAACCAGATACCCTATAATCTGAGTCAGGCTTAAAAATTTTAAGTTATGTAACTTATAATCTATCTTAAATGTATCTCTTTCTAATGTACAATCTATCCTTAAAATTTAGAACCTGTAGCACTGAGGTTACATAATAGACTAAACAAGTAAACAAAGTACATGACTTTGTAAACACAAAGTACATGACTTTGCCAAACAGAGTACGTGGCTTTGTTTACTGCATGAGGTCACACATCTACAGAGTTTTTCTAAAAATAGAAAAGATAAACAGTGCCAATCTTTTGGAAGGAGGAAACCAAATTCCCTACTTTTTGTTAAAAAAAAAAGGAAGACTGAAGAAAAAAGTTTACGATATTGTCATGCCTATAATTTTCTATTTCTTTATTTTTCTCTTATTTTATTTTTAGTTTTATTATTTGATTTAGTATTTTTATAGTATATTTGTTATAGTTTTTATTTATTTTGTTTA